TCACAGTAAGAAGTAAGAGGCAGGATTCTTGTTTTTATGAAACCTGTGCAACTAATTGCTCCACCCTAATGATAGTGATGCAAATAATTAATATTTTATCCCATTAGATGGCGCCACGAAAGAGCCAAAGTCATATAACAACATCTTGATCGAAAGTCGTGGCAAAGTTGGTTTGATTACGCTCAATAGGAGAAAGGAATTAAATGCATTGTCTAGTGAATTGTTCCATGAAGTCAATGATGCTTTGGAAACATATGACAGTGATTCTGAGATTGGTGCTATTGTCATTACTGGCAGTGAGAAGGCATTTGCTGGTAAACTAAGCTGCGAGTGCATTGCTATTTAGAGTTTTGACGAGGGGTGGATCGAATGATTGTCTTCTTGTTGACCAAAAGTCAGGCTTGTATGAATGAGTACTGACTGAATCGATGTTGATCAAAAAAGCTGGCGCAGATATCAAGGAAATGAGAGACAAGACCTTTGCCGAAGTCTATAAAACAAACTTTCTTGGTCATTGGGGAAGAATTAATGACATTAAAAAGCCCGTTATCGCTGCTGTTAATGGTTATGCAGTAAGTTATTTTTACCTAAACTTGGGTATACGCTTTTTCTTCGACGGACGCCGCCTAAGTCGCAATTGCCTTTGTAGCTTGGCGGTGGGTGTGAATTGGCCATGAGTTGCGACATTATCTATGCTGGAGATGGTGCAATTTTTGGTCAACCTGAAATTAAACTTGGAGTTATACCAGGTGCTGTAATTCTATAGTTGATGCCTATAACAAAAAGTTGTTTACTAAACAAGATGACAATTTCATACAGGCGCTGGGGGTACGCAACGATTGACCAGAGCTGTAGGTAAATCCAAAGCAATGGAATACGCCCTCTCTGGCAGACCCTTTACTGCTCAAGATGCAGAAAAATGTGGTCTTGTGAGTAAGGTCTTCCCAAAAGATCAGGTGTTAGGGGAGGCCATTAAACTTGCCGAAGAAATTGCAGGATTCTCGCAGCCTGCTGTTCAGGCGGGTAAAGAGGCAATCAACTCGGGTAATACTTTCAAAATTAAAATTTATGATAACTATACGTTAAAATTGACATTCACTCGCGCATTTGGTTTTTTTTTCCAGCATATGAATTGTCATTGAAGGAGGGCATGCATTTCGAGAGACGATTGTTCCAAGCGTTATTTGCATTGGTAAGAGGACATCTTGTCGATTATCATGACAGTGATCAAGTGAACTCATTATAATTCCCATTCTCATAGAATGACAAAAAAGAAGGCATGAGCGCATTTGTCGAAAAACGCGCACCAAAATGGACCAACAGTTAGTCGGATATACCTGAGCTAATAGTAATAGAATATATAGTAAATTCGACTCTATTGGTTGAAATAACATTTAAATGACAATGAAACTTTCGCTTGTTAGTCTGTAACGTTCTTCAAAAATAGGTGTTCTCTTGGTGAACTATAGTTTTCTATAGTGCAGTCAACTACTAACTGACGTCATCAACTGACACTCAAAATAAAAGGGTTTATATCTAATTAACGAATAGGTTTAACACGCTCTCCGATTATCGGATCGTTCCTTGTATTCTTATCTATTTTATTCCTATCAGGAAATCTCTAACCCTAGCACCAAAGTTCGTCTTTCCACTGTTTCCGAAAATATTTTCATGACTTCCAACGACTAACTCGTGACATACAGGATTCCATCCTAGCGTTCTTGGCGCCCCTAACGATGTGATGCGAAGCACTATCCTGCTACTACTGTTATCATGGCTTATTGTGATTTCTCTGTCAGCAAAATATAGGGGGAAAAAAATTGGTTAACAGAAAATGTCAAGTATGTGATTTCCAATTCCGTTACTTATCCTGATATACTCACATAGGGCGCCTCCAAATACTGTTCTTGTCTCTTTTTGGCATATGTTCAATTGTGACTGGTGTAATGGGAATATGTCTCGAAATAATCAACGCTGCCCTATCCACTACCCAGTCCCCTTCCCATACGCTACCAGCGATAGCTAACTGAGTTAGTTCCCGATGGACTATTTTTAGTAGCAAATGTCTAAACTCGCGGGAAAGGAACACGGAAAATTCATTCAATTCACGCGTACGAAGGGTGGCATGCGGAAGATGGATCACTACCGTTGAGGGTGACTCGAGCATAAAACGAAGGCTGTATCTATAATAAACAAATTGAAATTTGCAAAAGCAAAAGCGGGATATCTTTAGCCTACAACATTCGCGTGTCCACATTAAGTGTAGAAAATAGCAATAAATTCGCGGACATAACCTGTGATCAACTGTAATGATATACATTCCAACAAACAGTTCCTCTTTACTATCCTTTCCCCTTTCCTTCTCCAGACCTCTTCTCCGCCCACTTTCCTCAAATACTTTCGCCCCAATCAGTTTTCCAGCCTTCCTCAAAATATCATCAACAAACTCTGTACCGCCAGTTAAGCTAGTGAGACAATGTATTTCCACTGGAAACCCTCCATTCCGTAGGGGCTTTGTGGTGTTTGTTATAATTTCACGTACACTCGTACAGAAGAAGTAATATTTAAGTAAATGAAGTGGTTGTGAGAGAACTTGTCCGGTCATGGATAGAGACGGGTTGCGATCCTTGGCCCTAAATTGATCGCTCGATGACGGGGGCTCTATGCTTGGGCTATTGAGCAGATTTGCGAATAAATAGATAACGACATGCGAAGAATAAAAAGATTGAGGATCGTTATTAAATTCAGTAATCACGCCATGTGGAGTACTCATAACCTACCTATCTTTCCAACCACTTAAGACACGTCTTTGCTGTTTCTCAATATTTCGTCGATGATGTCGTCTCAATAACAGATCCATAGCAAGTTTTAAAATTGAACATGTAGATGATTCTTCCACACGTGCTATATCCTGCATTGGAGATATCGGCTGTTCTATTTGATGACTATCACCCGTGACTAGGCTAGCCTGGGAAAGAGAATAATGGTGGCAATTAGTTGAAACTTCGTGAATATTTTGGGAACAGTCTATTAAATTTACGAAGTTTATGGCTACAGGATGTAACCTACCCGTTCGATAATCAAATCGATATTATCGTAGACAGGAATTGAGATTTCGTTTTCTATCATTTTTGAACCTGCCAATGTCCTTGCTTCCTGACTTATCTGGGTTTTGTTGGGAGTAACAAAATTTAATACCAAAGGAATTATTGATTACTAGATATTGAAGTGACAGGAAAATTCTTTGAGAGGGCTTCTATCTTGTAGCCACACTCAAAAGCCATGTATTCTCGTTAAATTGAAAGATGTAATCCAACAATATATCCATCATATCAATTATCTGATGATAGTGGCTGCGTAGGACATATTTACCATAATTAAAACAAACCTGATCAAACAGCTCGGCTTCGAATATTGCAGACTGAGCAGCAAGGAGCTGCTCATGGATTTCTAATCCAGAAGGCGCGTTATTCTTGAATGCTGATCAGAAATTTTATATGAATTGGTCTTATATATACAATTTCATATGTGCAAATGCCTTACATGTTAACAATATAAAAATAGCTTACAGGAATTCACTTGAATAGCGTCAGTCTCTCCTCTGAAGGGAGAGTGTTCATACCTTCGCTCTAGTCGTACTTTTACAATCTTCCTTGGTTTTTGCGGCAATGATAACACGATTTGTTTCCTCCCGGGCGTTCTAAGTATCTGGGCAAATACAGGATTTTCATATAATGAACCAGCTGTGAAAATAATACGCATGCAGTGTTAAAGAAGCGGTCTTAAACAATATAGATGGTATCTAATCCAATCATGCTTATTTTTTAGGGCAATGAAGCAATTTCATGCCCTTGGAATAGTCACCATAGTCAAAATTAGGTATCTACACAAATATGGCATATAGTTACCATTATGGTACCCATAATTTACAGATATCTGCTTTCCAGCAAGCCCAGCACCCATGCACCAATTATTTTGTCTTAACAATAACGCTTCTGACCAGAATGCACGTTCATTATCTACAACCACATTAAGATTTTCTGCTCTGGATAATAGCATATCAGCTGCTCCGCGTAATTGCTAGGATAAAAGTCGATAATTAGCAACATTTGAGTACTACTTATTCAGACATTGCCTTCCATCACTATATATTGAATGAATCTTTTCGATCTAAATCTTTAATATTATCGTAGTTAACGTCTTCATACCCAAGTTTCATGAAGAATACCTTTCTCTTTGATCCTAATATCAGTTTGACATTCTGCACCCGAGCAACTTTATTTGGTTTTGGTGGATTTTGATAACTATAACTAATTGTTCCTGCTGCAACTGGTAGCGGAGTTGTAGGATTGAAATTTTGGTTAACGCTTGCCAAGATAGCGTTCAGTAAACCTACTCCAACTCCCATCTCATTAGACGATTCACTGCAAATAATTACAGGTTATAAAATCAAATGACAAGGAAATTTTGTGAGCAATTACATAGCGATATACAAACCTGACAGCATGTATGATATGGTGTCTCATAAGTAATAATTCATCATGGCGTTTGGGTCCAAGTGGTTTCTCTTCTTCCTTCTTTTCTGCTTGATCAGTTGTGTCAGCTGTTGTTGTACCAAGAGAGTCTAGGGTTAGTGTGGAAAACTGGCGTTCTTCCCACACTTTTGGGATCTGGCGTGCAAGTTTGTCTTTTGGTGTCTGTTTACTAGAGAATAGTTGATCAAGCTGGTGAGTTATCCGGTTGTGTGAATTATCAATTAGGGCTTTTTGAAATATTGAACATGTTTAACAAGGTGGCACATACGGAGCATATATCTCAATTCCTTGATCAGAGACGTCAAGTGAAGCAGCCTCAAGACGCGGTTCTAGAGGAACTCGCAGAGACTTGATCAGAGGTTCAGTCATCCCTACTTTATCAAGTCCCTTGCTTTCGTGAAGTTCGATTTATGAAAGGTTTGTACAACATACCTACAGTGACGTGAGGATTTACGGTCATACAGTATGAACGACGCGTGCAAGATTTCAGAGACAAATGACTCTTATCTATTTTTGCAAATACTTTCTCACTGGAGACGAAACAGGTTAAGGTCAGGCAAAAAACCAAAAAACGAATGTTATATACCGTGTGACTTTTCTAATTCCTGATTGAAACATGAGCCTGGAAAACGCTATTTATGATGTTGAAGACCGAGCTGAAGAAGCAGTGTCGATTGCCCAACAAGCTACCTATGAAGTCAATAAACTCACTGATGAACTAGAAAAAGAACGGCAACGGATCCACCAACTTGAAGAGCAAGTCAAACAGAATAAAGCCGAAGCCGTGCGAGCCAATGAAAGAATTGACAATCTTTTAAAACTTCAACAATTAACTGGCTTCACCAAGGAAGAATTAGCTTTTGCCAAAATGGAAAAAGCTCCAACTCAAAGCCGAAGAGACTAAAATGTTAGCTCAATTAAACATCCTTCAAACTACGAAGGAATAGCTTGGTCTTAGAATCATTATTGTTGTTACAAACCAATAAAGAGTCTTATTTGTGAACTGAAATTCTCTGTGTCTAGTTTTATATTCTCCAAGGTATAGCTTTCATATTTACTTTCAAAATAAATGATGGTACAACTATCGAGGTGAAAGGCGAAGCAATTAGTAGCTGGTTTGGAGATAGAAATTTTCTGCCGGATGGCTCTACATATTACTAATTTGTCAATAAGAAGCATCATCGGTTAACCTAAAAGCTATTGCTGATATCTTACCGTTTGTTCAAACTCAAACACTATCACATGTTCACGTATAATTAATGATTCGCAGTATTCTTGATTCCATCGACTGCGAGCATGCAAATTCAGACAAACCTTTTATTTTTTAGCTAGTATTGTTTCTTATTCCTTGATATTCTGGTTGTTCCAATAAAAAGAATTCTTTACTAAATTCCTTAGCTGTCAATAGCTCTGTAGCTTTGGATGTTATCACGTTGCCACGCCAAGTCATTAAAAGTGATGAACTAATGAAGACTTGGTGACATCACAATTATTTCATATATTATACAATTATAGATTCGTTAATATTGTGGGCGTTTTGCGTAGTTAGCATGCCTTGTTCTGTTCTCTTTCTGCTCAGCAACTATGTATTCCATTCTTAACTACTTCCACCTAAACTTGGACAATGTTATTCGAATTTCATCCTTAATCTTTCTTTGTGCTCTGTCCGCGAAAATCATCTTCGCGATATGGGAGCCTGGCAGTTTCAGAGATATCGGAAACACGAGAACGACTGACATGAGCCTGACTAACTATGATCCGTATTGGATAACTGAATGGAATAAGATGATAAGAGACATGGATCGATCGCTGGGTAGAGTGTTTAGTGATATAAAGAATATCGAAGCCTTTCCGGTTGTAGATGGTAGGTGATCAATTGTGGAGAGAAAAACGAAGTGGATAGCATTTTTATGCGCTATGGCTTATACTAGTGTGATTCTCAGTGACCGATGTAGGAAAAGAAGTTGTTGTACATGGTATGTACATACTACATGTATTTTACTTCATGCAACTCGCACTTTGCTCATAATGCCTGTAATAGCCGAACTTCCGGGTATTTCCAAGGAAAATATCAAAGGTAATATTGACATTCTGTTCACATATCGCGTAAGTTTAGCAAATTATTTATCAGACTAGTTCGATTACAGTTGAATTACTGGGAGATATGTTAACAATTTCCGGCCATGGCAGTGAGAACAAAGACTACGAAACGGCTTCAGGATGGATTCGGGAACGTAGATGTGGTAGTTTTACGCGTCGGTTACCCATTCCTCGTGGTGTTGATGTTGATAAAGTTGAAACGAAATTTGAGGACGGACTTTTAGAACTTAGAGTAAGTATTCGTATGTTAATCTTCTGTCTACTCGCTGTTAGCGCAATTACAAGGCATTTATTTGATAATTAGATTCCGAGATCTGAAGGAGCAGAGCCCGTCGTTAAAAAAATTGATGTCCAATAGCATAAACTAATACTTGATAATCGATAATCAATTCAGCCGAGAATTTTAGAATTGTAAACTGAACTGCTGCTAGAGCATCGTTTTAATGAATGCAGGTACAACATATGAACGTTGCATCTGCCAGAGAATGTTTGTTATTTCCAAATTTAGCAATTGTTACACGAAATCGGAACGTTAATTGTAAAGGTCATTGCAAGTATTGGTATATAAAGGTTATAACGGAGGTTTATTATAATTTATCGGTATAACGGATATCGGTACAACGACGTTTGACCGTAAACCTGCTGCAAGATAATTCTAGAGCATCGTTTTAATGAATGCGGTCGCTAGTCGTACAAGATATGGTACTCTACGTCTTTCCGAGACAAACGTTGCATCTGTCACAGGCATAGAATATTTTTGCAAATTGCGTACTTCCTATAAAGAACATTTTTTGTTCATACGGTGACTAAGATTAAATAGCTGTATGACGCAAACTGCATTCTGAATTTTGCTTGATACCTGCCTTATCAACTGCCTTCTGTAAGTTTTCGTTTTTAGTTAACAAAATCACTTCAGCTTCAAGGTCCCTTTCTGTTGACCTGTCTCCGTAATTTGGCGATCCAATCAACGTTACACAAGGATGTCGATTATCGTTCATATAAATCCATAGTCCCTTTGCATGATAAGTCCATTCAGGGCGTTTGTATTCACTGATTGTAATTAGATCCCGTTTCTTTGCTCTCACTATTTCCTTATAAAATTGCCTTTCTAATTGAGCGTACGCGTGGGGAACATATTTTGATATACCATTTGAGTTGAAAAATCCATTGGCCTGCAAAAGAAGATATTGAGGTAATCATTTCCGACAGTTTCTTTGGACTTGCGCAAGGGTCCAACTTGAAAATTCTATAACTTGCCTCGGGTGATGCAGTAATTAGTTCAAACTTTGCATCAGAGTTTAAAATCTTATGCCTGTATTTCCGAGAGATATTAAAATAACCCGATGTGAAAATGACTGTCCATAAACTGCTTTCTCTAGCACGCCTATGAACTACGTCGAGAACGTTTAAGAAGGCCTTTTCATCTTGTCTAACTCCCAATGGACCCATTTGAATTGCAGGAAATATGACTGTATCGACCGGAATTCCGTCCAAGAGTTTAAGATCGTCATTCTTTGACTTCTTCATCCAGTGCTGAATAAACTCTGTCATTGCGAGGTTAGCATTTGATCTAAATGAATTGCTTTGACTTATTGGATCAGTCGCCTTAGGGGTCTGTAGTGCAAATGTTGAATCGTCTGCCGGTTGAAGTTTGTACGAAAAGTATTCAATTGTTCGGAGTAAATCTGCAAAGTAATCAGCTAGGCGCGGTAGGTTCTTGAATATTATATATCGATCTTGGCGATTGGTGAAGTAATTACGCGATAGGTTCGCTCTAGATAATTTAAACGTTTGAGATAATGAAAGCATTCTTAGTTGAGATATGACAATCTTCATCCTACTCACCCGCTCAAGATAATATCATCATCAAATACAAATGCTTTAATGTGCATCAATCCAATGCTTTCGTTGAACCGTGAAGGGAGTGCTTTTTTCAATAACCCTGTTAAGTCAGGCGTATGATACATCGATACTACTATTCTGTCAGGGAAATCTCTAACTAGTGGAAACAACGACTGTGCCGTGGTATCCTGTATACCATTCGGACCGGGTCGAGTAGAACGGAGGTAGTCAACCAATATGTGAATTTTGAGATTTGCTGACGTCTCAAGTGCTTCCCGAAGAGTAGCAAACTGACGTTACAAAACGTTGAAACTTGTCAATAATATCAACAGTTTTTTTGGTACATAACGCGTTGTAACAGCACTCACAAGTTCGTGTTCATTTGATCCGATGTATAGTGCGGCTAATAAAATCCTTTTCTTCGCTAATAGTAAATATTTCTATCCGCCCACCGATAATATAGTTTATTATCAGCGTCAGGCGGATGGCCCAAATGCAGTTGATTTAATGATCGAAATACCTTCAGCTCGTTGTAGAACATCTTCGGTTCGTTCAGAAGAGTAATTTGTTCGCCATTTGCATAAAACGCGGGTGCTAAATCACAAAGTGATATGAAATCATTGAAAGGCTTTTCTTGCCACAAGTTACGATTATCAGTATTATTATTAACTAACGTTTGTGCAGCTAAAGTTTGTGTTCTATATAATAAGTGCGGTAATAATTTCGCTCGTTGATAATGTCTTCTGAGATAATAAGAGTCATATCTAATTTTCCTCAGAATTGAATCCAGCATTCGTGAGTAGCTCGATTCTTTGCATATATTCAGCATCCTTGGAAAAATCTGTTGAGCTAATACATTAGGGAAAGTGATGTTCAGTCATGTTCTATCGAGAGAGGTTGATTTCACCATTCCATCAAAGTTTTAAACTAACAAAAGTTTATTTTGGCTGTAGTGCACGTGCTTACACCTCCCCTCCATACAGTCACTACAGTATGTTATGATCACATGACTATACATAAATCCCTTTACCAGTCACCCCTCCTTAAAGTCACTGACTTGACATTAAGCGAAATTCTCAATTGAGTGTTGAGTGTCCTGAAGCCGAAAGGCTCGGAAACTGTAACAATGGTCGATAATTAAAAAGTATTCTAAGGGAATACATCAGAGGAACAGTAGTATATGTATGTAATCCGGAAAGTTCTCGTGAATTGGGTGTCACTTTACGTATCCAAATATAATTATAATAACGATAGTGTTAATGACAAGCCCTACAGTTAAACTTTCTATACCGAAGCATTTGCAGGTTTATTATGGGCCCAATATCAGCATTATTAAAACTTTCTTGATATTATAGTATATCAAACCCATGTCTCAAAGTGTACTTAGAAAGTCAAAGTTGATTTAGTTTGTTCCTCTTTGCTTTTGGCGCCTTCAAATTGCTGACCCTGTTTGGCATTCTAATACCTATCATAATAATAATCACTGTTGTCTATAAATTTGGCGAAGGCTAAATTTTGTGACGTCATATTAATACATTCATTTTGTCTAGATTTACTGCAAGCACGCTCTAAACAATAGATCATTCCATTCATGAGCTTTTCATTATCCAATGTATTCTTTGTTCTGGCCACCATATTAACGATTTTAGTTGCTCTCTCGTATTATGGAATTACTATTTTGAAACGAATTCTTGCGCAGAATGCAAAAGTTAATAGAAATACAATATTATCAACGCTTCGACCAAATGCAGAAGAAAATCCTGTCTTAATAATAGGCTTTTTTCATCCGTATTGGTAAGAGTTTTGTCGAATGCTAAATAAAGTTTAATATATATATGCTAAATTTGGACTTGCAGTAATGCTGGTGGAGGAGGCGAAAGGGTTCTATGGACTATTATTCGTATTATACAAGAGACGTATCCGCATGTCGTCTGTGCTATATATACAGGGGATGTTGATGTAAAGAAAGAAGACATATTACAAAAAGTCAAGGTATGATAGCAAATATTTAGTCACCCGCGATTCATTCACCCAATATAACAAGCTGTACTTTTTTAACACGAAGGCGCGCTTTAATATAGTGCTCAACCAGGATACATTGACATTCGTACATCTGAAGAAGAGAAGCTTAGTTGAGGATAAACGGTAATCGGACATTGGATGATTCTAAAAACCGTATATATCACGTTTGACTAACCTTCAATGCTACGTGTATAGATATCCTCGGTTTACTTTGCTTGGACAAAGTCTCGGTTCCATTTTTCTCGGATGGGAGGCTTTAAATAAGCTTGTTCCAGATATGTTTTTTGGTACTAAACGTTTAACCAAGTATATATAATTTAATTGTTGAGTTTATTAACTATCTTGTTATTGCAGATACCATGGGATACGCATTTACATATCCCTTGGTGAAGTATCTAACAAGTTGTAAAGTCGCCGCATATGTTCATTACCCTACTATCAGGTAATAATTATTCCATTCGGTTAGTCTCGTTCTTCGCTCTACGTTAATGACGTTTTTTCTAATTGAGATTATTTATGTATTGGTTTAGCTCAGATATGCTGAATAAAGTCCATGAAAGAAGATCGGGCTTCAACAATAATGAGGCAATTGCCAATAGTTTTCTATACAGCGATTTAAAACTAATGTAATTAAGGCTGATCTGATTTTCAATGAGACATCTACTTCGATTCTATTTACGTGTTGTTTACTCTATGCAGATATTACCGGATTTTTGCTAGGCTATATTCATTAGCTGGAACTTTCGCTGATGTGATTATGGTAAATTCTAGTTGGACTAAAGGTCATATCGATAATCTGTGGAGCACGAGTAGCAAGGTTGTATTTCCTCCCTGTGATACTACTGCATTCTCAAGACTACCAATAGAAGACAGAGCAAACATTATTGTCAGCGTGGCTCAATTTAGGTGACGAACATTATCAATCATTTTTGTCGTAACTTGTTCAACTATACATTGAGTATCCAGATTAGCGTATCATTGAACTGCTTCACTAATTGTGACTGTTCATATAATACATTATTAGGCCAGAAAAAGACCATCAACTGCAATTAAAAGCGCTTCAAAAGTTCTTGCAGAAATATGCAGAGTTTCGGACAGGACCTGCAGCAGTCACGCTTGTACTTATTGGCAGCTCAAGAAATGAATCAGATGAATTGCGTGTAAAGCAATTGAAAGAACAATGCAAAAAATTGAACATCGAAGTAATATCTTCTGCTGATCGTAAATTTTATCCATGCTTTGACAATATTTTGTTAACTGAACAAAAATTTGTATAGAACAATGTCATTTTTGAAACAAATGCACCCTTTGCGAAACTCATCGACTGGATGTCAAAAGCAAAAGTGGGAATTCATACAATGTGGAATGAACATTTTGGAATAGGAATCGTTGAATATATGGTAAGTCTCAATTAAAACAACTTGTGCATTCATATGAAAAGAAATTCAACATGATTTCTTACTAGGCAGGAGGAGTAATTCCGCTTGCACATAACTCGGGGGGTCCGAAAATGGATATCGTTGTATCATACAAGGGCAATAAGACAGGTAACTTTTGAGACCGTCTGTGTGATCCTTATAGCAAATATTAATATTAATAATTCTGTAGGATTCTTGGCGAACGATGACGAATCTTATGCATCAGCACTACATACAATATTCACTATGTCTGCCCTTCAACTGCAGAACATCCAGATTAATGCACGCCAGCTCGCCATGGAAAAATTTTCAGAAAATGTATTCAAAGAGTCTATGCTAGATGTCCTAGAATCAATTCTATCAGAATCTCGGGATTTTTGAAATACAATGACGTAGTGATAATGTGGGACGTATCCATAAATAGCCTTAGCTATGAAGACATGATCATACTTCAACGTATCGACTTATTAAATCCACTGATCCCAAAACTTATGCTCCAAGGCGTCTTTCAGTTCTTTGATAACCATGCTCTTGCCATCATCGCCGTAGTCTAGGTAATATAAAGTATAGATCTCCATCTCCGTTAGATATCCATATAGCTTGTCATAATTCCTTCCAACAGACAAAGGTCCATGACTATCATCAGATATTGTACATCGTCCACCTTTTGAGACTATCAACTAAAATTAAGTTATACCAAGTTAAAGTGAGTTCACATAACGGCTTAACATAATTCATACAATAAACTATTATGATACCTGAAGGATATCTCTTTGTGGATACGCGTCAGGCAGTCCTACTGTCCAAGCAGCAGCATTAATCTCGAATAAACCACCATAATCAATAACACAATCAACATTCCTCTTAATTTTTTCCCAAACTGCCTGTGTAATCTGCCAGTTTGGCCTGTATATTCTTATCACATCGAAATGCCCAACAATTAATGGTTTGACCTCTTTTAAAGTCTTATACTGCGCATCAAAATATGCTTCAAACAGTTTTTCATCGTCATTAGATGACTTTTTCAAGGCATTAGCAAATTGTTCTTCGTCAAAATCAATTGGCGTCTCATGAACGTGATGAACTGACCCTATTATATAGTCAAGGTCATGCTCCGACTTGATGCATAATGCTTCAGATGAAGATGACGAGTTGATTGTTTCCGATTCTAGCCCAACTATCAATGTAATTTGCGATTTGTATTTTTGCTGAAGTCTTCGAGCCTCGTGCACATAGGCGGTAAAAGTGTTTATAAGGTCGGATGGTTTTAAATGGAACTAACATAAGGCGGCAGAGCAATTCACGTACATATGAGGTATGAAAGATCACAAGTTATAAATGTTACAAGAAGGTAATGCTTACTTCCTCAGGGTACAAATCTTGTTCCCGGTATCTCGGACAATGTTCTGATAAACCATATACGATGAAATTCTTTTTAATCGCTTCTTGCACAACTTCTTCCAATGTACCCTTTGCATGTTCACAAAACTGACCAGAGTGACTATGAAGTGAGAACGGCATCTTTTAACCGTGGTTATTCAATAATAATAAGTTCAATTAATATTAATATTAATATGAGAGACTGTCGATCGTTACCATTACGAGCGTTTGTTCTTGTGCAACTGTTATAAAATTAAAAATGTAATACTAGTTGTTCAAGTATTATCTATCAACTTTAACAAGAATGACTTTGGATGGCTTATTCATAATTACAAGCAACAAAGTGTTAGCATTTGACAATTCGGTGCCCTCGCCGGCCACCATCGAGATTTCAAAAGAAACTGGACATATTGTTAATGTTATCCCCACTAAATTGTCATTGGAAGACTACCCATCTCTCACCCCAACAGAATTTATTGATGCAGGCGATGATGTTGTTATGCCGGGTCTTGTTGATGCTCACGTTCATCTGAACGATCCAGGCAGAACGGCATGGGAGGGTTTTGAGAGCGGAACAAAAGCTGCAGCAGCAGGTATAACTTGTCTTTTGACCAACTATGATTATCTGTACACACTGACAACTAATGAAAATTGTGTAGGGGGAGTTACAACTGTCATTGATATGCCTCTAAATTCAATTCCACCAACAACAACTGTGGCTAATTTGGACATTAAGTGTAAAACAGCAACGGGTAGATGCTGGGTAGATGTTGGATTTTATGGAGGTATCATACCCGGGAACCAGGTAATCTTGTCAATAGTAAACGTATGGCTACAATTGTACCGATGATGTTTATGCTTTCACGTTCCGTGTATAGAATGAAATCGTACCATTAATAAAAGCTGGCGTTCGAGGGTTTAAATGTTTTTTGATTGAAAGCGGGGTTGATGAGTTTCCGTGCGTAAATGAAACTGACTTAAGAAGAGCATTTGAAAAACTCCAGGTAACAGTATGTTTCGCATCAAGCTCTTAACTCTTACCTAAGAATCAAACTGATAATTGCCATATTTGATGCAGAATCAAAACACTGTATTCATGTTTCATGCAGAGATGAGCGATGGTGAACAGGAAGAGGATAATGAGCAAATCGAGCCGCAAAACTATCAGCGTTTCCTTCTATCTCGTCCACCTAGTCTCGAGTTAAATGCAATTAAACTTGTAGTACAGCTTACTAATGAGTATAAAACAGTACCAACTCATATCGTGCATCTTTCTGCAGCAGATGCTTTAAACATCATTAAGAAGGCAAAAGATGATGGTCTACCATTAACAGTTGAAACTTGCTTCCATTATTTATGTCTTTCTGCTGAGGATGTCCCTGCCGGTCACACAGAATTTAAATGCTGCCCACCAATTAGAAACCAAACTAACAGACAAAGGCTTTGGCAAGTATGTAACCGGATTGTTTCTTACCTAAGAACAACTAGGCTGTGTTTATTGATATTTTAAGTAATTCACCAGGCACTGCAAGATGGTATTATTGATGATGTTGTTTCCGACCACTCTCCTTGTACTGCAAACTTGAAATGTTTTAATGAGGGAGACTTTGTGAAAGCTTGGGGAGGTATTTCCACGCTACAACTTGGATTGTCTGTATTATGGACTGAAGCAAAGAAACACGGATGCAAGTATGATATGTTTACCATTTGACTTTTTTTTTTTAAATATATTTTACTCGTGTGATATTAAAAACTATTCTCCCTAATGCCTGCCGCAGCATTGATGATCTTGTGAAATGGATGTCAAGGAATACGGCCAAGAGAGTCTTTCTTGATGATCGCAAGGGTGCAATAAAGAAAGGGTATGATGCTGACATCGTCATCTGGAATCCTGAAGAGACTTTTACGGTTGGTTCCACATGTATGATATTTGGACTTTTTCTGCATTGCCAAATAACTCTTGGGTTGACAATATTGCAGGTTACCAGGGATATTATCCAATTTAAAAATAAACTCACTCCATATGTCCAGAGAACTTTATACGGTGTTGTGAAAAAGACAATTCTCAGAGGGAATGTAATCTACGACTCTTCCCATGGGGTTATTGGTGATCCCAAAGGACAGCTGCTGATTTGATCAGCCAATAGGACGCGAATCTTAAATTTTTAGGACGCTTCGGACAATCTGTACATCCTTAAAAATAAATATAATTACAAACTCTTACGTCCAAATAATCGAGTATTTATCCGCCGCTTTTACCGTGATCTGCAAACTCTTGAATAATCCGGCTGTAATAATAATAATAATAATAATAATAATAATAATAATAATAATAATAATAATAATAATAATAATAATAATAATAATA